AAAACAATGGGTAATTAAATTAATTGAGTGTCATCAATTGCTTAATTAAAAAAGGAACATATCTGTGTGTTTATTTCTATATCCTCTATAGATCTATGACTAAAATCTAATGTAGATTTTTTAAAAGTTTTTTTAGTAAACAGAATGGTGTTTGTGAGTTAGTGGTTTTAATCTGGAAATGAGAGTTACTCTCCAGAATCAGGGACACATTGTTAAATTGCCTGTGACATCATCTACCTCCAGGAGCAGAAATTAGAAAAGATGACATGGATTCTATGTGTCATTAAATTGTGAAAGGTGAAGTCTGTTTCTCAAACAGTTCATTCTTCAGTAGGGAAAGATGGTCCAAAGTACAAATAATTAAAATAAGTGTGAATAATTACGACTGAGGTAATAATGGCTGACATCAATTGAGTCCTTATTACATACTGAGTACTATTCTTAGTAATTAGTATTTAAACCTCACAAAACCTTTATGCAGTGGTGATTATCATTACATGCATTTTAGCGATAAGGAACACAGGAACAATGACGTTAAATCACTTGTCCAAAGTGGCACAGCAAGAGCCACAGTCATAGTGTAAACAAAGTGCTCAAGTTCCTGCATTAGTGGTCTAAGTCATTAACGGTCTACTGTGTTGCTACTTTCCTACGGGAAGGCAGTAAGACCTCTGGCTTCCAGACAATGGGCATTGTGATTCCTGTCCTCCATGTCTTACTGATGACTTGACTGAAAATGATTCTCGCCCTTCTCTGTCTCCTTATAGAGAAAATGGGTATGGAGGATACAGAGAGATAAGGGGAAGTTAGGGACTGGAAAGGGGAGCTCCTTTCCATGAGACAGGGCTCCGAGCTCCCATTGCCTGAAGCCAGACAAGCTTAGGGGAAAGAGAATGGGATGGGGGGATCTCTTTTACTTCACCAGAACCAATACCCTGCTCTCCTCTAATTCACATACATTCCTCACTTTATAGACAGGGTATGGGAGTTCTCCCAAGCAGCTCCCTTAAGGATTTTGTTTCATTCCAGATCCTTAACTAGTCCACTTTATTTTTTCCATGTGATAATAGATATAAATAACTAATCACTCTCCTAGCAGCAGGGCTTAAGTAAAAGCTGGGGCAGAGACCTTGGGGACTGCTGTTCAAAGCCCCAGATCTCTAAAGCTGAGGGTGCAAATAAGGATGAAGAAGACTTAGAAGGAGAGACACACAAAAGAGGAGAGAGAGAGAGGACAGAAAGGAAGTGACAATGAATGACCAAAATGAGGAATAAAACCTGGAGAGGAGCTTCTAAAATAAATGTTCCCACCAGCCAGGCTTTTGTGAAGATGATGAAAAGAACGGTGTTTTGACTAAATCCTTGATAAGGCTAAGAATTCCAGATTCATGACTATGGCACTGAAGAATGGGAAAGAACCAAAATTCAGGTCAGTGAGAGTATCTGATGAATCTTCTCACTGAGGTCTCACTGAAGGCACAAGGGTAGAGAGGGCAGCAAAAGGATCTGGTTTCTCAGCAAAAAAAAAAAAGTGATGATATTATATATCAAGAGTATGTGGAGAGTGGGCTTGGGTCCTTAAGACTCTCAGACATCTCTAAAACCTGGCATCTTTAAGGATTACCTCCTCAAATGTATAAAATAAGGCCAAAGATAGATCTGGAACACATGAGGCAAAGAAGAGTTATGGGAGCAAACCAGATAGCAGGTGTAGACTCAGGGGTAAATGATGCAATCCTACTTGCTCTCTTCATGTCTAAACTTTCAACCTCTTTGGCCTCCTTTCTAACCCTGTGATTTCCGGTGTGACTTTTTTTTTCCTCCAGAAGTCCAGGTAAGCTCAGAAGATAGAATCTCTTCCAAAAGTGTGAGGAGAGGTAGCTCTGTAATCATCAGAGATTCAAACACTTTGTGGTGAGAAGTCACTATTTGACTGTCAGCCAAGACTGATATGCCAAATCAATGAATCTAGGATGGAGCCTGGGCTGTATGTGCCTTTAAATCAAGGACATTGATGGACATAGTTGTGTATCTTCAGCACCTGGAAAAGTACCCAGTGTGCAGTCGTCATTCAATACCACCTAAATTGAAAATAGGGTAGGACTTTTCTTTCCATATCCCTTATAAAAACCCTGAAGGAATTTCCAGGTCCTGAGGACACAGCTATGTATTGAATCAATTAATCACTTGTAGGGCGTGTCAATCAATCTATATGCTTTGATGAATTGAGACTCTGCTTAAAATCAGGAATGTAAGGTGGTCAGAGAATCAATTTGCATGTGCAGGCAAATTGATCATTTAGTGACTTTAAAAGAACACAAATTTATGTGCTAGGCGTTGTGTTAAGGATATTACCATTATTAAAAATACAACCATGGGAAATCCTACAGGTAGAATAAACAAAAGAATGGATTGCGTATTTAAACTATTTAGAAAGGAATGACAAGGGACAAAAGTTAGGAGATTTTTTAAAAAATAGAGAAATGGATTAAGTAATTGAGATAGAAAAGGAAGTGTCAAGAAAAGTGAAGACAAGGAGCCCAGGAGAAGGTGAGGAAACACGTGAAGCGTAAAAGTGTGAGCTGAATCTCTGGGGTCTGAATGGGGTCCACAGTTTATGTGACAGGGTTTGAGACCTTGAGAATTAGCTTCTGATTAATGAAAACCCAAGTCCCCTTTAAGTCAGAGCCTTGGGAAATGTTGGGTGGCTGCAGGGACGAGACAAAGGTCTACGATTTTTAACCCCTGCAGAACCCACAGGTAATCTCATGTACCACAAAAACAGCTCTGAGCAAATCAAGTACAAATGCTCAATTTTTCAGTATGAAACCAGAAAGAAAAGCAACAGGCTTGGTTGTACTCCTAAATGCTACAGAGATTTCACCCATTCCTGGAGTCTTTCTAACCTACAGTGCATACAAAGGATTGTGTCATTTGCTTAGTGTATCACCTTAGACGTGTAACCAGTATGACTCTATAGAATGGAGGGAAAAGGCTATTGTAAGGATTCTACTAAAGAGTGAGGCATGTGTAATGTTCTAGAGTCCTGACACATAATGGAAACACAACAATTATTTGTTCCTTATATTTGCTTTCCAACTCTGTCTTCCCTGTCTGGTGCCCCCACTCCTGCTTCTCTAACATTGCATGAGTATTTTCTGAGCCTTTCACTTACTGGTAGAAGTCAGGTTTTCCTCCTCTTCTCGCCCGACTGAAGACTGAATCGCTTTTCCCTCAACCTACTCTGGTCCTAGAGCTCCTGGCTTAATGTTGTGCTTATTTACCATCATAAGTCCCCACGCTCACTCACAATGCTCCTTATCCCTTTTTCCTTTTCACTCAGACACATTATCTTTTATCCGCTGCTCAGATGACCTCTAGTTTAATACTTCCAGTGACAGTCAAATCCAGCCTCCTCAAAACCCCATCATCTGATACCTGTTCTCCAGGCTTCTTAAGAACACTTGACGCATTTCAGGTGAATGAATAACACTGGTGTATACCCACCAGACAGAGAGAAAGGAGTCTCTTCTCAGTAACAGTAACAAAACTTGGAAAGTGAAGAATAATTTAACCCTTGCAAAACACTTTCCTGTTGAAAACTCCATTCTATTCTCACGCCCTGTGTGAAGAGCATGACTGGCCAAGGCAAATTCTAGTACCATTTAAATATAATAAAACCAAAGCCCAAGGTTAAGTGACTTCCCCAATATCATTGTTGTTACTAAGTAGCAGAGCTGGCATTTGAACAAAATTCTCCTGAAGATGAAGGCCCAGTAATCTTGCAGACATTTTTTTTCTTGTAGTGAAAAAGGGTCCTGGGAGTCATGCATTAAATTCACACCAAGATATTCTTTTCAAAGCATGTGAGATGGATAGTCCATACGAACCATAATAGAAAGTGGCCCCGTTTCTCTTTGGCTGCTGCCACCAAGGCACAATTTTTATACTCCTAGAGATTGGCTGCCAGCACTAGATGATACCTTAACGTTTGAATGTCACAGAGACTTCTCACCTTTGTTAAATCTCATCAGACGCTGCAGGTTTCAAAAAATATTCTCCTTGAACTTTCCTAAATAACTAATTTCTATCCTTGTATCTCCAAATAGGTGATATGCCAACAGTAGTTTGTGTTGTGCTGTTGACAGCTAGTGCTCTCAAATGTTTATCATAAAATCTACCTTTTACGGATAAGTTTCGAATCCATATTACGAAATTTTGAATTCTTTGAGACACAGCACATCAGTAACTAAGGTATTCAGATGCTAGGCAACATGGATTTCCAGGTGTATGTGTTTTGGAGATGAACACCTATAATGAACTCTTACCATTTTTTTGTAGCTTCCCCAAAGTCTCCAGAGGTTTATCGACCGAATTTTCCCCCTAGGCATACTGAGTTAATATTAGTTATTCCCTCAAATCAACTATTTGTTTTATTTTATTTATTTGCTTATTTATTTATTAACTGTTTCTTTGTTTTGCCATAGGATGTTCATACTTGCCCTTCCAACACAGCTTAGAATCAACTTTCTATTGATCTTTCAGGTTTCATACTTGCTGGGAAACCTTTACATCTGCCCTCGATATCAGCAGTCAAGATAAGGAGCACCATGAAAAACACTCTGTAAGTTCCAGTGTTAATAGGGTACTATTCAAATATAGTGCTTTCTTTTTTGATTTTGTCTTTTTTTTTGATTATATAATTTCTAAGAACATCAACCAGGTCTATTCTGCATATATTGTTGTGAACCTAGTATATATTGTTCAAAGCCTTATATATAATCAACTCGGAATAATACATTGAGTTTTTCTATATACATTGTATTCTCCCATGCCTAGAAATCTCCAGGGAATGACTAAATTACCATCTTTGTTGTCACTGGAAGTCAAGACTGATAAACATCTTATGAACGGGTAGCACACTCAGGAGCAACTTCTACAGGACTAGAGCCCCTATTGCATGACCTGAAGGGAATATTTGCCTCTCTGCAAGGCCTGCAATGTGGCTCAACACCACTGCTTCCCCATTTCTGCTGACTGGTTTCCCAGGCATGGAAAAGGCACATCACTGGATCTCCATCCCATTATTGGTGGTTTACATCTCCATACTTCTTGGTAATGGCACCCTTCTCTTTCTCATCAGGGATAATCATAACCTCCATGAGCCCATGTACTATTTCTTAGCTATGTTGGCAGCCACTGACCTTGGAGTGACATTGACTACGATGCCCACAGTTCTGGGGGTCCTGTGGTTGAATCACAGGGAGATTGGCCATGGGGCCTGCTTCTTTCAGGCCTACTTTATTCATACTCTTTCTATAGTAGAATCTGGTATTTTGCTTGCCATGGCCTATGACCGTTTTATTGCCATCTGCAACCCCTTGAGATATTCTTCAATCCTTACCAACACCAAGGTAATAAAGATTGGGATGGGGGTATTGACAAGGGCCGGTCTGTCAATTATGCCAATAATTCTTTGCCTTCCCTGGTTTCCCTATTGTCGATCCCGGGTACTCTCCCATGCTTTCTGTCTACACCAGGATGTCATCAAGTTAGCCTGTGCTAACATTACTTTCAATCGTCTCTATCCAGTTGTGGTTGTATTTGCAATGGTCTTGTTGGACTTCCTCATCATCTTTTTCTCCTACACTTTGATCCTCAAGACTGTCATGAGCATCACTTCTGGAGAAAGGGCCAAAGCCCTCAACACATGTGTCTCCCACATCTGCTGCATCCTGGTTTTCTATGTCACTGTGGTTGGTCTGACATTCATCCATAGGTTTGGAAGACATGCTCCTCATGTGGTCCACATCACGATGAGCTATGTCTACTTCCTTTTTCCCCCTTTCATGAACCCTGTCATCTATAGCATTAAAACCAAGCAGATCCAGATTGGTATAATTCGCTTCTTTTCTCTGCCTCATTCTAGAGCATAACTTTGACTCACTGCTCTCTGAAGAATAATTCAGGGAACCTGGACAAGCTGACAGCTCTGTTGGTGGGAGCAACTAGGGAAAGCCATGTAGATGGAAGCCAACATTTGTGCTATTTAGAACATCATCTCCTCCTCCCCCCAAAATAAAAAGAAATTAAAATAATACAATAATAGAACATCATCTCACCTTGCCCATTTGTAGCTGAGTTGTATATTACATAATATATATACAACACTAATCTCGTGTCCAAGTGTTTGCTGTTTTCCCAGGTAATCACCCTGTTTGGTGAGCCTCTGGTGCCTATTATATGATTCTTGGATTTATGGTAAGGGTCACCAGTATTTAAGTCAAAGCTCATTTTTTTTCACTATGTTCTGCATGTATTGGCTTTGATATACCTAAAAATAGCACACTCTTGACTTCAGACTTGTATCCAGTTTTGTTTTTGTTTTATTTTTTGCTTATATGGAGCTAGAAAACTGCACTAAGTAAAGCAATGAGCCTTACCCTGTTCTCAGTTCAATATGACAACTCTAGAGAAAGTACATTTAAGTATATCTAAATCTGTTCAGTTAAAATTTTGATAAACATTTATTAAATAAAATTATTTTTCATTAAAATATATGTAAGTAATATAACAGAGATATAATTATATCTATGCTGTTATTTTTACTACAACTACTGCTAAATAGAAATATAATTCCTCATCCAGATGATCATTGTCTTGATGAGTTAGTCCTAATATGGAGAAAACAAACTTGAAACAAGATCTTTAGCAACTTCCAGGCTAATAAATGATCTTTATTAGATCAGCTCAAGGGACTATTTGTTTGATAATTAATTAATTAATTAATTTCTACTCAACTCAGCTGTATATCTGTCTGTAATTAAGTATGACATTTATATTTTTTCTTTCATAACTTCTAGACTGTGTATTTCAGGGGAATAATGATAACATAGGTCTGTTCCCTACTGTATTATAGAAACTACCACATGCATCATCTTTAGTAAAATATAGTTTTGATTAAAATGAATGAAACTTAAAGTGACTCATATCTGTGTGTGTGTCTCTTGGTTTTCTCTCTCTAAATATGTGCAACTTCTGAGTATCTTGTTACTACGCCCTGTAATACCTTCAAGTAGTTGGACATCTTACGTTGTATTCTCATTTAATACCTTCAAAAATATAAGATCACCAGTCTTTCAGTAGGAGTCCATCCCTTGCTCATGCTCTTGGGACTGAATTAAGGGAGATCTAAGCTAAATCAAAGGAAAATTTTCTTGATTTTATCTTTAGGCCAGTAATCCTAGGGCTTGCCACAGTAGACTAACATAAATGGTATTAGAATAACAATATGTTTTCTTAAGTCTTCAAATGGGTACGTTTGATTGCAACCCCTAAAATTTCTCTCCTCTCTCTTTCTGTCCTTCCTTATCTTGCAGAGAGAGGATAGAGACATTAGAGAAAGAGCTCATAAGAAATAAACGACTGTGAAGTTCAGTTTTTCCTATGAAACAGAGCAAAGCTCTGGGGTTGCAGTGGCATCTCAAGAGTAAAGTCAAAAGAGATAGGGTGTAGAGAGTTTCTTGATAGATCAATTTAATGCCCTGCTCGGATACTTGTAGTCACATATACCTTAATGTAGAGGTAAAGTTCTGGGAGTTCTCAAAAAGGCCATCCTACTAGCCTTTTCTTTCTTGCTAATATGTGATACTTAAAATTAGTCATCTTTCTGGTGACAAGACTAGTGCCCAAACCAGAACATAGGGTGAGAACTTGGGGGACCACTCTACCAAAGCTTTGAATCCCCAAGGCTATGAGAACAAAGAAGGAGGGAGGAGGCAGAAAAGGGCCTTGGGGAGGACCTTCTGAAACAAATGCTTCTTGAAGCTTGGCTTCTGGGTATGATCTAAAGAGGTAATCTTGAAAGTAAGACCTTGGCCAGGCTCAGGCTAGAGTCACACCTATGGAACTGATGAGCAAAGGACTGATGAACATGTCAGTAAGTGGCTCCAGTGTGTCTTGTCCTAGAAGGCTAAGTGTAAATAACAGGGCATGGCAGGGTGGGTTGAGGTGTAGAGAGTTGGTTTATTGGAACTTACAGAGGAAGGTGGCAATATGTCAGTCAAGAGGTAATGGGATATAGGAACATATCTCCAGAGCTTCCCCTAAAAATTGTCTTCTGAGTAATCGCTTCTTCATATTTTTTTGCAATAGGAAAATGCTTAAAATCTGCCTTCCCCTCCCTACTAGGTGGATGGGGAAGGGAAAGGCAGAAGATCTGTGGAAATAGCAGCAGATATCTCTGGTATAGTTCAGGACTCTGGGATGGATTAGCTGTTGTTTCCTTTCTTTCTCTCTTCAGCTGTTTGAACCAGCTTCCTCTTTGCTCCTGCGTGTTCTACCAGGAATTTACTCCCCAAGAGCCTAAATCAGGCTATGGAGAGGAGGCACTATGATGACCAACAGTATAGAACAGAAAGAAAACATTGTCAAGTAGACCATTCTCAGATTAGGGCAAAGACACACTTTGAGGGATTTGACATTAAACATGCTTTAAATTTCTACGTATTTCCAGAGGTGAGCCCAGGATCCATCAGGAAATAACTGTACAAATCCTGTAAACCAAAGGCAGAGGAGAACTTCTTTGTTCATTCTCTTCCATGTTGAAGTATAGGCACTGCAGATTTTAAGCATCTCAAAACCCACACAGAGAGGGAGTGGACCTGGTGTTGGGTTGGAGGGGGGAGGGGAAGGGGGTCATCATTTTTACCAGCAAGGGACACTACCTAAGTGAAAACTCTGCTGGATGCTTTGGATAGAAGACCATTCAGAGCCAACAGTCACTAGTAAGAAGGTCAAGAATTTAGTGTAACTGTAGGTCAAATAATCAATCCATGGATTTGGAAAAGAACAAACATTATGTGCTGAAACTTCTAATGAGAGTTCTTTTATTAAGTGAGGTCTGCTGGATACTATCCATCAGGATAGATGGCACTGTTAGTTATAGATTACCTAGTCAGAGAGCCGAGCTGAGATCAGAAATGCAGAAGATAAAAAGAAAACTTTAAAGGCAAACAAGGATTGGGGGAATGAAGATTGAAAACAAGTGGGATAAAGAGCCCAAGGAAAAGCAAATGTTGTAAAATTTGTCACATAAATGTCTGGCTAGTGTTGCTCCTTGAGAAGACTTTTAAAGGAAGAGAGATTCAGTCTCTCCTGAAGACTGCAAGTTTCTCAAACAGAATGTTTAGTTTGGAGAAATAGTTTTTCATCAATATAAGATCAAGGGCTTCCCAGAGATGGACCCTCCTTTGAGTTGATGGATATAGTTTTCAAGGTTATAAGGCAACAGTCTTAGAATTATGGGACTTTGTTTCAAACTATGTCATTGAGTACATGATTATAATCACCAATTAACTATTCCTCCAATCCCTAGCCTCTTGACACACCCACCCACACCCACACCCACACACAGACACACACACACACACATTACCGCCATCCAGCTCCACAAAGTATGCTCATTACTTGCTTGAACCAAGCAGAGATGCTTAGTCCTTGAATGTGAACACAGAAAGATGACATATTAAGACTTTTTTTTATTGAGCAAATAATGATTAACATTGTTCATAAGACAGGCTGTAGGAAAGAGAAGGCACCTCTCAATTTCCTGTCACCAAGACCACAACTACTGAATCTCATCTAGTTTTCCCAATTACCCAATAACATATATCCTGTTGCTTTCCAATACATTTAGTCTTTCTTGCATTTTTTTCTGCCTTCAAACATGCTCTTTCCTAAGCCTAGAGTATGAATTACCCTCTTCTCCCTTGTTCTCTGCATTTATCATGGAATCTTCTTTGGCCTTCCAGATTCACCTCTTAGAGCACATCCTATGTGAAAGTCTCCCCAGAAGATTCAGATGCTTCTTCCTCTTAACTCAAATTTCACTTTGTATTTATTACATTTATTATCTTTTCTTTATCTAGTAGAATATTTTCTAACTTTACATTTATATATGTTACTCCACGATAAATGAAATCCTTTGACTCCAGGGATAATGTTTTACTATCTGTTCCTTTGTAAACCCAAAGCTTAGCACAATGAATTGAGGAGGGAAAAAAAGCTGATTTTCTCACAGATTCTACTGAACAGATTATAAATTTCTGGAATTCCTCTTGTCTAATGTCATACAGAAAAAGAACAACTCAGCTGTTTCCTTGCATTTTGACCTTTTGAAGTGCTTTGAATCATTTTCAGGATCAGTTATTTAAAAATGGGGAAAATAAGACTTCTGTGGGCATTCTGTTAAAAGTAAGGGGGCATATGCAACACATGTAGACCATGTTTGTTGTGTAATAAGAAGCAATTATTCTCTCTATCTCTGTTTCCCTCTGCCTCAGCCTGGCATAGGAAACAACACTGACTAGACGTGTGCAAATAGGCAACTAAGGGAGACCCATCCCTGCCAAAATACTGTTTCTTGTTGTTATTTTGCTTTGTTTTGTTTCTGTTTCTGTTTTATACTTTTGATTCTCTTCTGAATTCTACCAAGGTCAAGTTTGCCCCCGCCCCCAACCTCATAGGCAGCCCAAGCCTCAAGATGGTCTGGTCTGTGCTCACCAAAGTGCCCCCCTCTTCTCATTTCTCCCCACCCCACAACAGACACCAGTAACCTTTCGCTAATCCTAGCTATTTGCTTCAGTCACTATCACCCCAAGCCTTCTTAAAACCCCACTATCCTAAACCTCTTCTCCACTAAATATTTTGAATAAATCAGAATGAGTCAACATAGCTGAGTGTGATGGCTTCCCACCTGCCTCTGCCAGACAGAATCAGAATGGCCCTTTACAATAAATGTAACCCAACCCCCTACAAATGCACAGTGTCTTACCAGTGACCAACTCTGAAATGATATCGCACTTACTCCTCACAGGACAAGACGAAGTTGGCTAGTCTCATTTATTTCCAGCTGAGGATTGTAAGCTGAGAGAGTCCAAAGGATTTGCCCAAAATTACATGGTTAAAAATTGGAGGAGCTGGGACCTCAACTAAGGAGTTTTCTAAAAGTCAAAGTGTAGAGGTCTTAGAGGAGTTATACATATATGTTATAAACTCACTCTAGAAAATTCTCCTTAATGTCTATGATGATATATTGGCATATCTCATGTCCTAGTTTATCCCAACACTGATAAATGTATTTACAAAGCACAGATGGTCAACGATTTTAGAGCCTTACCTGTGGTATCACGTTAGCCCTCTTGTATGATTTTTCAAACAAATCAGACCTCGGCAATCTAATCATTTGTTGCTCTCACCTGCGTTTTTATAACTGCATTGAATATCCATTATTTTTTCAATTCATTCTTGCCTCAGAAATTTCTCTTCTGAGAAAATTCTGGAAAAAACAAAAATTTCCCTTTCTTTATACAATCGATTCCCACACATCTGTCAGATATTACCCTGAGGAAGCCTTCCTTGACTGTTCCCAAACCTTGCCAGATTTATTAAAGTAAGTAATCTACATGCTCCTGTGGAATACTGTAAGTCTTCTATCATCATTTTATTTTATGTCAGTGTTATTTCTCTTTTATTCCTTGAAGCTATTGAAGCTTTGAGGTTCACAAGAACAAGAACCAACTCTGTGTGCACTCATGACTGTATCCTCCGTGCCTAGTATGTTGCCTGGCAGATTTACTAGGAACTAAATTTGTAGTTGTTGTTCCTATTACTGTTATTTCTTTCCATCTCCGAGACTCTCCCAAGAATGGATGCTTCATTTCTTTGGTGTCACTGCAGTTCAGGGAAGCTCTACACTCAGAAAAACAGAGGTCACTAAAGGAAAATTTCTGAAGACCTGCAGACCTATACATAGGGTTTCCTTAAGAGAAGCCTTGTTCTATTATAGTGCCCATCATGGGACTCAACACACGTGTCTCACCCTTTCTGCTGACTGGATTTGTGGGCCTGGAAAAGGCCCACCACTGGATCTCCATCCCATTATCTGTAGTCTACATCTCCATCCTTCTTGGCAACAGCATTCTCATATTTCTCTTCAGAAATGACCATAGCCTTCAGGAGCCTAGGTACTATTTCTTAGCCATGCTGGCAGCTGCAGGCCTTGGGATGACCCTGATTACCATGCCTACTGTGCTGTGCATGGTGTGGATGAGTCGCAGAGAAATGAGCCGTGGAGCCTGCTTTCTTCAGGCCTACTTCATCCATAGTCTCTCCATCATAGAGTCTGGAATTTTGCTTGCCACGGCCTATGATCAGTTCATTGCCATGCACAACCCTCTGAGATACACTTCCATTCTTACCAACACTCAAGTGATAAAGATTAGGGTGGGCATTTTTATGAGGGGATTTGCTCTCATCTTGCCCCCAATACTGCCTCTCTATTGGTTTTCCTGTTGCAGATCTCATGTCCTCTCTCATGCATTCTGCCTCCATCAGGATGTTATAAAACTCCTGTGCTGACATCACCTTCGATCACCTGTATCCTATTGTGGTGATATTTTCTATGGCCCTACTGGACTGTCTGACAATCTTTTGCTCCTATATTATGACTCTCAAGACTGTCGTGAGCATTGCTTCTGGAGAGGAGAGGGCCAAAGCCCTCAACACTTGTGTCTCCCACATCTGCTACATCTTAGTCTTCTATGTCACTGTGGTTGGTTTGACATTCTTCCACACATTTGGGAAGAAAGCCCCTCATCTGGTACACATCACAATGAGCTACATCTATTTGTTTTTCCCCCCTTTTATGAATCCTGTCATCTACAGCATTAAAACTAAGCAGATTCGCAGTAGCATACTCCAGTTATTCTCTCTGCCATCATCAAAAACATGACATTTACAGGGGAGAGGGTAGAGCTCAGTAGTAGAACGTGTTCTTAGGATGCACCAGGTCCTGAGTTCAATCCCCAGTACCCCCATTAAAATAAAAATAAATTTTAAAAAACCTTATTACCTACCCCCCAAAAAAATTAAAATTTTTTTAAATTAAAAAAAAAGTGACATTTACACTTTCCTATCTGGGAAAGGACTAAGAGATTATAAACATAAGGATAATATGACTGGCACAAGTTTCTAAGAAATATATTAAAATAGATGGACAGCTGTCAAAAAAAAATCTTTCAGACACAACTCTTTCTTCTGCTGCTCCCTTTTTTATGAGGGTGAAGTATAGTAAGCTGTGTGAAAAACTTAAACACAGTGCAAGGTGCTTAGCATGTGCTCAACTGATACTCATTTTGTGCTCAAATACTCTTATCCTACTAACAGCAGCTCTGATGTCCTGTGGCATGATCCAAAAAATTTACAGCAGATTCCATCTACAGTTGTCTTTTCCTTAAGGACTGGATGTTCCCACAACCAATGACTTTCACTTCTTTTGTTCCTTGTGCAAAGTTGGTTGCCTTTTCTGGAATATTGTCATCAGTGAAGCAGTATCTATTTGAGCTAATTTCTAATGATGACTATTGTGCACAGTGTATATCTAAAATACGAATGCTCAGTTTTTACACAGTACAGTTAATTCAAATAAAGAAGTAAGTCAATTCTTGGTCCAGAGGAAGAAGTTTTATTATGAATCTTGATGAGAAAGAGTTTATTAGAAGTTATGTATAATCAGAGCCTGGAGAGGAAATTAATTCAGGTTGGAACTGGACATGAATGGAGGTTGGCATGTATTCCTCATGCCATAAAGGGTAAAGTATGTGTGTAATTAGCTGGGAAAGAAAGAAAAAGGAGATACTTGTACTAGGTGTGAAAGAAGTCCTGGGCTGGAGAAAAGGCTTTCACAGCAGGCTGTAGGTGTAGGTGTCACCCACACACCAGGTGAGGAGGACCTCTCGGCCAGATAAGATCCCATTTTCAATGGTGGCAGCAACGGTGGTTATAGATTCAATACAGGAAGCAGAAAGACTAAGATGCCAGGGTTCAACAAGCCTTGTGCAGGCCACCCAGGGCAGTGTATTTCCTTGAAGATGGATGAAATCAGGTCCCTTGGTTCTGTCTAGACACAGGTGAACTTCTGACCTTTGCAAAATCCTTTGCCCTTGATCACTAAAGGAGAAGAACATCACAGAATCATTGGAATATAGGGTAATAGGGAGGCAAGCCCAATAAGCAAAAGTGGGGCTATGGCAAATCTGGTGCATGTTAAAGCCGTGTAATGTGTCATGTACTGACAGGCCCGTGAGACTGGTGTTTCTTTCTGTTTAGAAATGCCTGTCACACTTGAAACTCCCTCTTCCTTATCTATCTCTCCCCTTTCCCTGTGGACTATGATACTCATTCTAAGCACAATGCTTTGAATAGAGTCGGAGCTTATTAAAATGTTCTTTATTACACAAAATAATAAACTAAGGGTGGATGATGTTTCTGTGTCTTTCTATTCCTCTTGTTCCCACATCTCTATGTACATGTCTGGATATTCCTGCCACTCTGGGGCATCCCTCTAAGCTGTTTGCCCATCCATTGTGACAGGAGACTCCAAAAGTGAACAACCAAGCCCCCTGTGTGCAGGGTCTGCCTGTTCTTTCCTGAGCATGTGTTCTGAGCGTCCTGAAGCCAAATTCATAGGGCAACTTTTTCAGCTTCCCTGAGTTTCCACTGATAAATTTTCATTTTAATGTGGTTATGTGAAAGGTTGATTTTAGTGAACAATTTTCAATCATTGTGCTCTCCATGTTTTCCTAAGAGTTGCTGGATAGCCATGAAAAGAAAAAAAGAGAAAAGGAAATACACAGTAGGCTACAGAGTGTTGCCCATGCAACTACCACTGCTTCTCCTCTTTGCCACAGCAGCCCACTCAGCACAGGGCAAAGAAAAGACCGTAAAACCAAGAATGTCTTTAATAATGCTGGTAATAACCTTGACTTCAAGTGGTGGTTTATTGCAGTTGCCAAAGAACATTTCTTTTTTTGTCTGATGACGTATGCTGTAGACGTTTGGAGCACTAGGGCCATGAACTGGGCCAGACCTTAAAATAAGGTCTTTATTACACCATGAGTTTGCGGAAGTATCTAGTGAACCTGAGGGATTAGAGGTCACCCAGCGACAGGTTCAGTGCCTTGAGATCAGTGTTATGAGAATATCGTTGGTGTTTGCCAGCTACGGAAACCATGGGGTTAGAGCATACAGAGGTGCCAAAGACAAACAATGCTAGGCTGGTTCCAGCCTGGCAACAAGGCATCGAAGTGATCTTACCCCTCCTCCCCTGAGATAAGCACATGGTAAAAAATGCTGCAAAGAGATGCATTTAGATACAGATAGAATAAGTAACAACCCAGTGTATTCTGACTTCCTGGTCAGCAACCACCTTCTTCTCTAGTCAGAGGAGTGGACATGGTTTATTACCCTAAGGAAGTCCTTCCATAAAGTGTATTAACAAATTAACACATCAGTGAGATACACATGTCATCTTGTTGCCCTGACAGGGCTCTGGAAGTGACTCTGTGCTGGCTTCACACCATTCCAGGGGAACTGAGGCCCTGGTGAGACTTTACATTGCAATAAAAATGCACTTGATTTTATTCAGCACAATCTGATACATTTAAATTATACAGTTTTTTTTTTAAGTCTTTAGCAATAAACTTTGAGGGCAGGGGCTGTGATTCAGGCATCACCTCCACTTAAATCAACATTCTCCAGCACATGTAGATGCTCAATATATGTTGGCCTGATGGCAGGATGAAGTTTATGTCCCTAACTATTCGTTGAGGACCTCTGCCTGCCTCTCTGGGGTCTGAGGAGTCTGAATGTGGCTACAGAAGCGTGAATTTAGGCTAGAAAGCGGGGAACCAGGACCATCACCAGCACTGGGAAACATACAAGTCGAAGGACTGTTGGGAGCAGTTGGACGTTGGTTAGAGGAAGTCAGCTATGGTTGTGGGGCAGTTGGTAATGCAAGAGCTCATAAATGGCAGGAAAATAATTCTTCACCTATGACTAACCCCTGTGCAGTCCCAAGCAGGAGCTCCTGTGCACACAGGCTTAGGAGGGTTGAGGTAAGGGTGCTATCTAAGCCATGAGACACAGGCCCTAACTTTTAGCCCTTCCCAGGGCTTGAACTCTTTATCTCTTAGACACAGGACTGAGGGTCTACAACCACGCCCCTCCCAAGCTTTGCAAATACTGCCATCTCTGCCTACAGTGAACGAACCAGGAGAAAGGCCTCTAGGAACGGGGCAGAAGACAGTCTCTGAAGTCTCACCATGGCTCAGGTGGAAAAGGATCCCTGCTGTACACAGGCATGTGAACTTGCAAAGTCCTTGAACCACTAGGCTTTAGTTCTTGCATTGTTAACTCGAATAAACCCATTGTTAAGAGAGATTTTTGAAGTTAAAATGAAAAACGGTATTTCCGACGTGCTGGTCCATCACCATAAGGCACTGACACAATCCATGCATTCCAAGGTATTCTTTCCTTAAGCATTCTCCCTGTGCCTATTTTCATCATCTAACGTCTCACATCCTAACCTTGATGAAGTCTAAGTGTTTCCTGGTCCTTAACCAGCAGTTAGTGAGGAGCCAGACATTCTTCAAAGTTTTTCTTCTACCAAAGCGAAACTACCCCTCTTCCAATTGCACCTCACAAGTAATCCAGTCTTTGGTTGGCCCTTTGCATCTGAGCCCTCCAGCTCAATTCAGATTTGTTGCATCTTCAACCACTTAACTGTGGCCCAGCATGGGTAAGCCAGTTATGACTGCTCTAGCTTTCTAGAAACTTGTTGTTTCATGCTTCTCAGCGGTTTTGGACTCAACAGTCTGGTTAGAATGCCACCTTCTACTAAGTGGCTGTGTGCTCTTTTGCAAATCTTTTCATCCATCTGTGCTTTGGTCTGTTTAGTGTGTTGGACTGTTTTAATGATTAAATGTATTAATATATGTAATGCATCTAATAGTTCCTGGCCCATAGTAAATGCTACAGAAGTTTTAGCTGTTATTATGACTGCTATTTTTATTATTAGGCATTTTGTGAAAATGGGATAATTTGATACTTGTAGTGAGAAGAAACCTAGTCTGGTCTCCCAAAAAAGGTGAGGACTTAGTGAAAACTTGCTTACAAGCACAATGCTTGATAGTATGTACAATATTCTAATGTAAAGACTGATATTCTGTTCTCTTAAGGACCCTGGGAGAAAGCAGAACCTAGAAGAGGTTTTAGTTTATTTATCAGAAGATTTTGAGATTCCCAGAGACTGAGTGACTTAAGGTGTTATGCTTAGAAACAGGAAGAATCAAACTTATAGAGCTGGTGATGGCTTGCCTCTGTAGGCCAATGTGTTCTAGGGAGTAAGAATGTTGAATCTGCATGTTCTCATGAGGATTTAGAGGAACTCTCTTCTGTGAATGTTGGACGCATCTACTCAGAATTTTTTACCTTCCTTGTGGCCCTCACAGATCTAGTGCAGACTCCAAGAAGCCTACATTGTGGGTCAGTCGTGTGGACCAGATTAGACAGATACCCAGTAACTAACACTTGCTAGGTGCCTGTGGAGTAGAATCTGCTAGGGTGTTTGGGCTATCAAAATGCACGTGGCTGTATGACCAGGATCTAAGCCTAGACATACTGGGAGAATGGAGTCTTTAAAGGCAGGTATTCACTCATTCACAAGCGTAACCTAAGCACCTACTTATCATCTAGCACAGCCTGGGGCCAACATGATAGAAGACGATATGTATGTGCATGTGTGTGGGGTAGTTGGCACAAAATGATGATTAACAGTCAGTAAAAATCCATCAGCAGTGGTTTTTAGCAGCCACTATGAGCCACGTGCAGCCCTATTAGAAGATTTATATTTATTATTCCTCAGTAAAACTCTATGAAACATTTTTTACATCT